AAGAGCCGGGATAACTGAGTCAATATAGCGACTGGCTGGACGGCCTAGGTTGGCTTCCTAGTAGCCACAGCGTCCATACCATCTCTGGGGCCCACCCAGGCTCCTATCCAGAGGGTGAAGCGTAAGAGGTGTGAAGCTGACCACTCACCACCATCTAGTACCGAGGTCAAGAAAGATGGAGCTATACCTCCACTCTCCCATACATCTTCATGTTTAATTAATTAAACACAGGGACAACTTTTATTTTTCTTGTAAGAATTATATAAGATAGTAAGTTTAAAATATTTAGGTTTTTAAATATGTGATTTGCTGCTTTCCTCACTTACCTATATCTCTTACTCCTTCAGAATTTATAGTATATTTGAAAAGAGTCAACTTTATTGTGTCAAGCTTTCCATGATGCGAGACATGTTTCCGGCGAGGTGTGTGTGTGTGTATGTGTGTGAAGGGGGGGGGGAGAGTTCGTGTGGGCGGAAGACCCGCTGGCGATCAGCTCTCTCATTTCCATAATGATGTGGAGTCTATTTATCAGACCGTCTAGAATACCAGCCAACATTGCCCGATACAGAGGATATGGAACACTCGCTTCTGCCTTAGCTGCAGACCATCGCCTCCCTGGAGGTCACGGCCCCGGTCAGGCAGGCGATTTCGTGTGAATTCCAAATTCATTATTAGTCCCTGTGTTCATTACATCGTTACTTGGTTTCTGTTTTCTATATTAACTGATACAACATAAGGAAAAACATTATGTCTGTATACTTGATATAGTTATGTGGGGGGCTGTTAAATATAAAATGTAGGTTTGAACAAGAACACGATGAACACAGGACTTTTTTTTTTTTAAAGGAAACATTTCCTAGTAGGCCGAGGCGAAATGTGAAGATGTGACTCTCATTTGACTGACTCAAGATAAGGCTATACGAGTCAGTTAGGTATTTACTTTAGAGAGCAAATAAATAAATTCAGATACTGGTTAATTTTGCTACATTAAATAATTACTTATTGGCTTAATAGAGTTCCTGGTAAGCTAATAATCCCTTAGCTTGTCAGGAAGTTCCTGCTAATTTGGAATCCTAAAGTTCATTGTCGTGAGTAAAACAGCTAGCCATTTGCACCTAACTTCATCTAATTGAATCCAGTCCATGATATGACACCATATTTATTTAAGATTCGTTTTAATATTATCCTCCAATCAATTTCTAAAGCTTCCTTCTATGGTTTCTGGCTAAATATTTATGTACATATCTCAATTTCCTGTGCGTGCTGCATGGATTTTCAACAAATTTATAGGTTCGTGTAAAAATATACAAAAGAAAAAGATTTATTGAGATAAAAGAACAAAATATGGCGTAATACAGAGTCTGCAGTATTATGTTTGGTAGAAGCGAAAGTACGGAAAGAGAAATACGACTAGTACAAGATGTTACGAAATGTATATATATACGTATACATGGATATGAGGAGTCATTGAAATGACAGGCACACTGAAAATCAGTCCTGTAATATAAAGTTGTTTTGTCTCGTATTAGATTTAAATGCAACGGTCATTTGAAACCTTTAAGATGTCGAACAAATAACATTATAAATTAAAGTATAATCCACTTAATATTGGCACAAGCAACATTTCCATGGCAGAATTTACTCCACATGAGACGAAATGAACATACGGTCATGAACAGGCAGGAACAATGATGCACCATGGAAACCGAGCAATTTAAAAAGGACACAGAGGAATTTAGAAGTGAGAATAGAGAAATATTAGAAGAAGATAAATGAATAATGTCTAATATTGAAAGAAGGAAGCCATCTTCTGGGATGTTGCGCAGTGTAGATATTGTGTTAACCGAAGTTTCGGAGGACTAAGCACCACATTATGAGTAATCTATAATTCACCGTCATTAATTTTCTTTCAACTGTCTCTTTCATTCAATACATAAAAGTGCACTATCTTATTCTTTGCTATTAACGCTGCCTGTATTACTTCTGACAAATTTCAGTATTAGATAAGATTTGAGGTATTCAAGGAGGTGACTATGAAGAAAGAAGTCTTCTGGGATGTTGCACAGTGTAGATATTGTATTAACCGACGTTTCGGAGGAATCTTATCAATACTGAAATTTGTCAGAAGCAATACAGGCAGCGTTAATAGCAAAGAATAAGACAGGCACTTTTATGTATTGAATGAAAGAGAGACTTAGAAGAAAATTAATGACGGCGAATTATAGATTACTCATAATGTGGTGCTTAGTAAGTACGTACTTCTTTTCACATCTGTATCCTTGAGGGAGGAGGCTAAATTAAAATTCCCAGAATATCCTTGTTCCACTGTAATGTGACAGCGACAGTGGCGTACGTTTCCCACTATTGCAATTCTTGGTCCTCCCTGTAGAAAGTCAATCTAATCTGGAAGCCCTAGATTAACCCTGTAACCCTTCCGCCTCTCCCCCCTCCGCCTATATGCGACACGTTTCAGAGGGGGAAATTAATGCTCAGGAGCACGAAACTTGTATGTTCAGTGTCTTTCACTGCCTCCATAAATATTGTTTCCTTCTGCACTGGACGTACAAGGCTCCCCGTTGCTTAGAAGGCAGAGGAAAGTTCTCATTTCTCTGACTATAGCTTCCTATTTTTGTAATAATTCGTCAATACAGCTGCGTTTAAACGCTTTACTTTTCTTCTTCTTCTTCTTTTCTCTCCATTTGTGTTTCTCTTATTTCCTTCTTTTCTTTTCTCTGTCTTCAGTTCCTTTTGTTATTTCACTCTGTATTAGTTTCTCGCGTCCTTTCGTTCGCTTTCGCTTTATCTTCCTTTTTCTTAATTTTCTCTCTTCTCCTTTTCCCTCCCTTTCTTCTCTTTCATTACCATACTCTATTTTTCACTCTGCTTTCTTGCTTATTTTATATTTTCCACATTTATTCCCTTTTAATCTCCCTTTCTTGTGTCTTTGTTTCTTTCCCGATCTTTTTATTGTTTCCTCTTTCTTTCCGTTGATCATGATCGTTGCGTGACGAAGTTACTCTCCTTTCAATACTCCACGTCAGCTTTCACTGGGAAGGCCTTAAGATAAAGAGTGAATAACTGCAGTCAACACAGCCGCTATTCATTCGAGGCTCGAAGATGATACCTCCCTATGCAAGTCAGATACATTACCGTATGGGCTAATCTACCCAGTTGAAAATGTTGGAAAAGTTTAAATATTATGCAGAAGTAAAATGTAAAGTAAATACTGCATATATTGGTAATTCGTAAAAGTTCTCAGTGAAGTAATTTTCCTCAACCCATCCGGGAATATCCAATGGATGCAATAAGATTCGAACGCTCCCCTTTCACTCAATTCAATATATTTTTTCACCTGCCTCCATTAACACACACTAAATAAACTCTGCAGTTGATACAGCTACGTACCAACCAACTACAGAATGCAGGAACATATATTCAAGGGTTAGGAATTACAATTTCTCTGTTCAGCTGGAAGACAACATTATTTTTGAACACACTGTGCTGTTAGCATTAGGTTTGCTTGGGTAAATTAAGACTTTAAAAATCAGGGCAGGAATAAAAGAGAAGAGGAAGTTGGGTCAGGAAAGGAAACGAAGGAGAAAATGCTAGTGAAATAATGAGCGTTTTTCGTGACGTACCGTGCAAGCATGGCCAAGGCAAAACAGCTGACAAACGCTGTGGTCTCACACCACCTCATCCGTCACTGAAACACGCTTCTCTGACCGTGGTCTTGTGGAGAGGAACGCACTGTAGCTCTGGTATTATCACATGCATATATTTCGAGAAGAAATTATATAGACGAATAAATTTCACAATAGGATCATAATTGTTTCCAAAATTATCAGCATGCTCACTGATTTCTATAGTCGTTCTGTATTAACGTTATTCTTATCCAGAGTAAGTGAAAGCGAAGTTTCGCAGTTGCTGAAGAATCATCCAGCTGCACATAAACCTGTGGCTAGTCAGCCCCATATAGGCCTGTGTCTTCATAACCTGTTTCAACCTAACATTCATTTTGTTAACGTCTTGCCATATATTTCCCGGTCTTCAAGTTGGCTTCTTTTCAGTGACGTTTAATCATCAAAATGCTGTATGCATCTCTGTCCTTTCCACCCAGACTAAATGTCCAACACATCCTACAATCCTTTATTTGAATATAGAACAATACTGTGTCATCTGCATTGTGACGTGCCACCTAAAAGTCTCTGCTTCAACTACGAACTTCCCGTTGCTGTTTCCTGCCGAGAACTGACTGAGTGAACTACTGAACTGAAGTGCTCCTTATATAGGATCGGCATGGATCACCCACAGAAGACACATCACTTGCTCAGCAACGGATATCATGTATTGTTGTCAGGCGTGTCCACGCATGCATTGCCCAGCAATGGACACCCTATTGTCGCACATTCATTTCTGTGAGGTTTGTGTACCGGTCTGTGTACCTAACAATGTACGCCCTTATATTGTTAGATGCGCGTTGTTTGGAGCATGTTTACATATCTTTCTCCTAGAAACGACCCAATCTGTCACAATGTATATAAGAAATAAATATAGGTCCTGTTCTATTGCATTTCATGTTGTCTGCTTTTTTTTTTCTTTTTACAGAACTTAATACAGAATTACTATATGGTGACAAGCACGAAACCAGAAATGGATTTCAATTAAATATTAATTTTATTGTTTTTGTAACTTTCATACTTTCCATTAGTTTACACTGAAACAATTAAAAATGACATGAAAGTATCCAAATTTATTAAAAATTAAGGGTTTCACATCAAAACATGAATCACATTTCCGGGGGATAAACTGGCTGGATCGTGGAGCCAATTACTATACTTATCTATTTCAGAGATTAAGAACGCCTGAAGTCATACATTTTTCCACCACACGTTCTTATGCTGCTGAGCGAATCAGAGACAACACTTTGTAGAAACGTTCAAAAGTAGTGTCGGTAATGGTTTTAATTGCCTGTAATAACGGTCGTGTGTCTTTTATTGCAGAAGCTGAGGGGCCGGACATCACGAAGGTAGGTCATGTTTAAGTGCCAGATGATTTTACCCATAGCAAGCTAGTGCAGTCTCTCTGCGTCCGTTCTCTTCCTCATCTGACTAGTTAGGACAAGACAGACTAGGCTAACAACTAGAAACTGAAGGCGTCAGTAATACAGATGGAGACGCAGAGATTACTTAAATTAATAAATAGATGTATAATTGAAGATTGCCATCTTCAGGGTATGATGCTGCTTACTGGTAGATGTCTACCGACATTTCGGAGGAACTTAGAGCTTCCATTTTCGGGGTTCAAAAAGTAAACCAAGAAAACAACCATCAATCCTACAGATAGAATAAATATGTTCTTTTGGTAACATGGGTAAACTTCAGCCAGACTACACTGCGTCACGTTCCAAAATCTAGTATTGTTCGTAGTAATCGAAGTGGGAACCTCAAGTCGAGCGACTAAGTATCTCTTCCCCTGAAGCCCATCGCTCAGTCTAATTTCTTGAAAATGTTTATGAGTGTGAGATGGAAATATTTTTCTACTTTTAGACTGCATTCCTCGTTGCTCAAGGAAAGGTAACGCACGGTACCATGTCCATGTCTTAATCCCCCTAATAAATTTTAATCTAATTTACGACTGCTCATGATTATCATGCTATTACAAGCCGTTTAACCTTCGTATTTTGTAATCCATTGCCTTCGTCAATGCAAAAATTTCCGCCATACAAACCACTTGGGTGGTAGCAACACTAGCGCCACTTAATGATGTTCAAATTCTGTGACATAACAGATCACTGGGAAAAGTGTAATTTTCATACTGTATGTTCTTTTATAGTGTAAAATAATTTTATGGTCGTTATATTTACCTTTAAGAGCCAGGATTGTGCAGTCGGTGTAGCACCTGGTTACGGACTGGAGAGCCGAGCGGTCGGAGTTCAGGTCCCGGTAGATTCAAGAATTTTCTTCTCTCCATGTCGTCCAGACTGGCTCTGGGGCCCACCCAACCTCCTATACAATGGGTACAGAGGGCTCTTTCTCCTGGGGTAAAGCGGTCGGGCGTGAACATGATCGCAGCTAGTGCCGAGGTCAAGAAAACGTGGTTTTATACATCCACTCCCCCATACGTCTTCATGGCGTAGTGCTTAATTAACCAAGCACAGGGACAACTTTACCTTCTTTGCATTTACTTTTGGGTCGGATGGCGATAATTAATGCATCACTTTACCTAGGAATATATTTGTGCGTGCTTGTATGTGTTTCTGTGTATATGTGCGTGCGAAAATTATTAATAAATTGTCAAAAACGATATTCTGTTTGAAAATTTTGGATATGTTAACAGTTACAATCATGGCAGCATTGCGAGTGTATAAAATCTGTCTTTACTAATAACACTTGCGTGCAGATGCGAATCACTAATTTGAGTAATTATTCCGGTATAAGTATTGAAACATCTAGATAGTTCATTATACCCAGTTATTATTATTATTATTATTATTCGTCGCAGGTGCTCAAAATCTCGAGAGAATTACATCTTAAGCCTCCATCGGACAGTAAACAGGCTACATCTATTTTTATTGACCCTTGTGTTTAAGACAAATTACATGTTTTAGAAACAGTAGCAATTTAACCAAACGTGATGGATTATTACTTAGTACATTTCAGATATTTATGCAAATTTTAATCATAACCTATTAATATACACTGTAACCTTTATAGAATTTATTTTATGAATTATGTATACAAAATGTCAGGGGTTTATTGGTTTGAACAGACTCTGGAATGTGTATCTACCCTACGATTATCCAACCCTCTTAACCCAACCACCTTAGCGATGCTTCATCTCCTGCAGCAAATATTATTATACACAGACACACGAAATATCCTTTATACCCTTTAATATTTACTTGTTTGAACATCAGCCCTTGAGCGTTTATTGTGCAGGATATGGTAGTAGCAGAAACAGATACTTAGTCATTTTTTTAGCCCTTTGTTGAGTTCCCTATAAACCATGTCTATGATACAGGACCACGTAGCCCCTCCCAACACTCCCTTACCCTTACATATTATTTGATGGTCTTTTTCCATAACCTTCCTTGTTATCTCCATAGTCTTCTGTAGAAACCCCCCCATAAGTCCCCCCCCCCACCTAAATGGTCGATATATCGTCCACCGAAACACAGAACACGAAGCGTATGAACTTCCCGCAACTATGTATGGAAGGTCTATACCGTAAGGCCTTTACGAGAAAGGCCAGAGGCGATTTACTGCTATCAGGCTATGCTCTGCCATGCTGTCCATGTAGTCGAGAGGGCTAATTCCTTAAGTAATAAGGTACTGTGTTATATTACATCATATACAGGTGCTGGATATATCTGACCTGCGTTTTTATATGCAGTTTTCCTATAAAGTTTTCGTCTAAGACACTAACAAAGTGGTTGAGTGTCAGGAGAGCAAAATTCTCATTTAAATCAGTAGAGTTGCCAGGAGGTATTCTTTGGATTCTTGGCCCCACATTTTAGAATGTCAATCGGATATCATGGCTAGCATTGTTCGTGGTTTTCGATATTCAATACATCCAAATTCTCTGATGATTTTAGCAGTTTCGATGGTGAAATTAGTTTTTATCCTCTTTTTTTTTTCTCTTTTGCTCCTTTGCTAGCGACTGGTTATTTCAGTGATTAAATAATTAAGTGAAAATCTGAAAAAGTGACAAGCTAAGTAAGTGACTGATTTCCAAGACACAAATTAACAACAAAACTGAAAAACTCGCTAACTAATTAACTTGACACAAAAAGTAGGTGTAAGTAAATAAGGGCCTTAAGCGCTATTACATAACTAACATCTTAACACACTGACTAAACTGGGCAACTAAATAGCTCTCTGAGAGACGTGATAACACAAGGTGATTCAGTTGCACCAAGACCTGGATCACAGGTCACATTCCCATAATATGAACTCTGTTTCCACGCGTTCCTCCATCTTGCCCTCTTTCTCGAAAGCAGTTGTTTTCCAAGGCATTTCTGCACCCACTTCTGAAGGTATTCCTTATTTCCTCGAACCTCTCTTCTCATACCCAGCCTTTAACTGTTGTAAAAACAATATAGACTTGTAAGTCGTGTAAGTAACGAGATGTCTGTTTATATGACATGTCTCAGAACCGGTGGTAATTTATTTTTTGCCTGTCCAGATAGTTACCGAGTCACATAATTTTCAATTCTACACTTGCAGCTAATGTTCTTAGAGCGAGACTGTCTTTACGTTATGATTCCACCACTTCATACTTACAAGTTCGATACAAGAAGCGATAAGAAAACTTCTCCTTTGAGAATTTACATAGAAATAAAAAACTTTCAATATTTCAAAACATTTAAATATTAAGGAACAAATTGAAATAAAAACTCTAAGGAACATATTAATGAGGTGGTATGGGAGCAAAGGAAAAGATAGGGTGACCCTAAAATTGCATGACGTCCTATTCTCGTGGTACTTTTTCTTTTGTTTCCCAATCCTTATGTCTGTCTCTCTCTAGCTGTTCATCATCACCTGGCGCCCTCCAGCAGTCTTTTGTTTCATGTTTATCCATGGCTCATCCATCTTAATTCTACATGGTATTAATCTTGCCCTGTCTTCTCCCGGTACCTGCCCCTTTACACAAAACCGAGTGATCTCCACCTCACGAAAGAATATTGTGCACATTAAGTTTATTCTTATGATGTATTGTGGATTGGTAACTGACGATTAACGTATTCTGAAAGAAAGGTGGGAGTTACGAATGCTGTGCGTTATATATTTCATCATTGGTGTTATATTTCCATAGCCTCGGTGAGAGCTGACGGAGTAACAAGCTCATGAAGGCAGTAGAGAAGGAAGGCCATTATATACTGAGGAGCTCCATAATTTGCATTCTGCACCAAATATTTTGATGATCAAATGAAGGAGGATAAAATGGGAGGGGCTTATAGCATGCTTAGAGACGTTTAAAACTTTCAGTTTGAACATATGAAGAAGAGACATCACAGGAATGACCAAAAATGGATATTAAAGAAATCCGTTTTTAGGTATTGAGCTGGATATACCTGTTCGGAATAGGGTCCAGGGGTGATCGGTCGCTCAAGTAAATGACTGCTGGTCCTCGCCAGGACAGTCAATATTGATTTCGGGTCCCGTCGGGACTCATAACCATGTTTCTATTCTTTCCAAGACGGCAACGTGTTTTGAAATTTGGTCTCCTTTTCGACGAGAGGAGAGATCTGAATACTACTGATCACCCCCCCTCTACTGGTGATGACTCCTCCAGTCCAGGGTGAGCTCTTGTGAGCAAGGTAATGAACCTTCTGCTACCATAAATTATTTGAAATTTCTTAAGCAGCTGAGTATTAATCTCTCGAGATGAACTTTTCTCTTTGAAGTTAGTTTCTTTTATATTTATAATATAGCTTCAGTTAAGAGGGGTACGTTTCAGACTGACTTGGTCAATGTACGCAGTTCTCCGAATGTATTAATTACTAATAAGCAGTCATTATGGATACAAGCTATTGTGAAGATACCATGTATTCTTCATCAGGCCTTCTCGAAAAGTACTGGAAATTACATTAAAGTAAGCTACGACCACTTCCTACCACATCTCTTCCAATCATTCTTATTTTTCCTATTATTGCTCCCAGTAATCGACGATAGAGAGAGCGCGGAGAGAAATATTTCTACGAGTGATTTTGGAAATATAGGAAAATATTTATTTAAATGAAAATGAATAAATAAAGTATGGAAAAATAGAAGGTAACTCGTAAAAAGGTGTAACGCAAATTTATTTAAGTATATTAGACTATAATTTTATGGACTGCATAGCCCAACAACCTAATGATAATTTTCATTTCATGCATCCTGTTGTGTTATAATATACAATTTCTGTATTAAATCCGTCACAACACAACTATATTGAGGTCAGTGCCAAGTTTGGCTGTGCTACATGTTTCGGCTACTAAAAGCCATCATCAGGCAAATACATAATCAACCTTAATATAGTTGTGTT